TTTATGAATGAAAATGTTGTATTTTTCATGGTTTCATGTATGAATGGGTCTTTCATATACATACAGTCACCTTTGAATGTGTTTGTTTTTGACTTCAGCTCAACTTGAATTTCTGATTTTTGCAAATTTTGCCATCGTCCCGAAGAAGTCGTTCGTGGATGACGGGGTACAAGGGAAGAGAATTTGCAAGTTTTTGTGCATGTGTCTGTTTTTCGTGTACACATTGGCCTCTTTGAATGTATGTGTCTTCAACTTCAGACCAACTTGAATTTTGATTTTTCTGATATTTTGTCATCGTCGCGAAGAAGAGGTTTGTTGATGACGGGGTGAAAGAAGGAAGGGAATGCGAGCTATTAAGATTGTGTGCGTTTAACGTATACATATTGAATTGCTTGAGTGTATGGGTTCTCACTTTGGCGCAAGCTCAACATCAATTTCTGATTTTTGACAAAATTTCTGACCGAAACGGCTTGTTGGTGGAGGGAGCAAGGGAAAGAGATCTCACAATACTTTGTTTGTATTGGTTATTTCTACATGTATATGAAGCATTCTATGTATGGGTTTGTGATTTTTGCTCAACTTCAATTTCTGGATTTTTGCAAAATTTGACTTCGACTTCATGAAAATGTTTGTGGATGAAGAGTTGAAGGAAAGGGGGTTTGCATGCATTACTTGTTTTTGTTGCTTTTACTACTTTTCTACTTTTCTTCATTGAAATCAAATATTCTAGAATATTCTAGAATATTCTAGAATCTTCTGGAAGTTTTAGAATATTATAGAAATCCTCGCCACAATTCAACTTGTCGACAAGGTGCATGCGGGAAGGCAAGGAAATTGCTTGCTGGGCAATATGAGCTAACAGGCGAACAGAAAATCTAGTAGCACGATGTCGATTTGTTTCATTTCTGCAGGCGATGATTGAATTTTGTCAGTGACAAGAATTTGAAGCAATGCTTGTGGACGGCTCATGAATGTTACGGGTTGAAGGAAGAAGGGCAGGCTAATGTATGTTGTTGTTGCTTCACTTTTCCCGACCATATTTGCTTCCGATTTTTTGTGATTTTTGTCAACGCAGCGAAGAAGCAACTTTGTTGTAGGGCGCAGGCGTCTATGAATGAAAATCTTATTGTTGTATTTGATTTCAGTTCTGAGCTTTTAGACAAGAGAAGTATTTAGAGGGATGGGGTAATTTGTTTTCACGCAAATAATGAGTGTGTATGTTTTTGCATATAAGTATACGAATGTATATATGTATGCATATATATATATATATATACATGTAATTCTTGAGGCAGGTCATTATTTTGTATTGTGTGTACATACATTACATTGATTTATAAGTTAATAAGATTATTAACCAAACATCTAATTAATTTATAAAAATACATTTCATCAATAAATAACCTTCTATATAAAACAAAGCTATTGCGGAATGCCGACGGCAAATCGTCACTTGCTATTGCTATATATACAAATACAATAATGAAGTTTATGATTTCACCCTATTTCACTTTATTATGAAAATTAATTTATTTCATCAAATAAATATGGAAGCAAAATTATTTAAAATAATTTGAAATAAATTCAAACTGAATTCGCATCATTTGCCTACTTATCATTTTTGTTATCATCGTCGCCGTAAAAATGCCGAGAAAACATAAGAAGACTACCCCTTCGAGGTGAATTTACAATAATTTGCGAAAGAAGGTCCAAAGCGGACTCACTCCGTCTGTGAAACCTGAGCCACTTCAATGAACAGTTCACAGTTCTTTTCCCTTCTTATTAATATACGTTCTTTGATACCAGGTCAGGTATATGTGTACTTCGCACTTGAACTTACGCCTACACGCAACAACAAAAGCCAGCTGACCATTTGCAATCTTGGCCACAGAGATCGAGCGATTTGACACCGTTGGACCTTTTGTGGGGCCACGCGCAACACCGTGTCTATGCGAACAAACCTTTAACTCTTTAGCACTTGAAAACCAACATTCGTCAAGTTACAGATGAAACATCGGCTAATATGTGCCAAAAAGCGATCGAAAATTATCTCAAACGGATCGCAGTTTGAGAGGCTGTTATTTGAATGCTATAAGACTCCACATATAATACGAAGAAGCAAATTTTATAATAAAAGAGGAATTTCATTGAAAATATTATTGTAAATGATTTTTATTTAAGTTTATTTCCGTGTCCGCAAAATAGATAAACCTGTAAATTATTACTTTGTAGCTATCCAGCAATTCTTAATTATTGAGACATTACTTATCAATCATAACAGTGGTCAAATCAACTCATCTACCTTTATTACGGCTCATTAACAAGCACCGATTATCAGCCGGTTAAGACAAGCATTTATATTATATAAGCTTATCTACAATATCGAGAAGGTTTTGGAACGGTTTGCGATGAATTTCTCAAATTGTTAACATTAGTAGCTAAGAGAGCGGCAGACTGAACGGTAGCAAGTGGTGCAAAAGTGTTTGAGAGAATAAAATTTCAAAAAAAAAAAAAAATTTGTTGAAGGTAATAAACAACAAGTTAATGATAACGATATAAATTTAAAAAGTCTCTGAATCGTATACACACACTTATAACGATCAAACAGCAGAATAAACAGAATCTGCGAAGAATCATTACAAGAAGTAAAGCAATAATCTTACTTAAATCATATACGCCAGCATTAAATCATACAAATTCTTAATTTACTATGAAAGTAATTTAGAACTTAAATTTTATGCAGCACATATATATCATTCCGTACAAAATTACCTTTTCTCCCTCGTGAGCCTTAACCCATTTTTTAAATGTTCTAAAAGTCTAAATCAATATTATCGGCTAATAAAAGTTTAATTGGTTTGATAAGTCATATCATAAGCCAATAACTAACTGAAATTCCTTGAGAGTTAACAAATTTTTATTTGGCATAGCACTGTTATTTCAGTAAGTTGGATGCACTTTGGTATGCAATTTACGGAATATATATTTTAATATTCCTATAGAAAACAAAGGTTTTAGGATCCAACATTAAGTACAAGATTCAACAAAATTAATTAGGTGAGAGTTCTCCTAACAGGCGCGGTACTACCTCGGCAGTGATAAAAAATAACGATATCCGATTTATATAATCCGTGGCGGTATATGGGAGCGGTATGACCTAACACAGCCCGAAACCGCTGCATACACAGTTGGCCGCGCGCTATGTTCATACGATTTATGAGCAGGGTTGCGAATTTCAGCCAGATTTCCATCAAATTTAATTTAGCTCATTCAAAATTACTTGTAAATATCAGAGCCACTACTTTTTCCGAAATATCAACTATATTCTGGAGAGATGCCTTTCAATTTAAACTAAATTATGCCTACTATATAAATCTCACAGCAATACATTTTTTATAACGCACCGCGTCTATTTTGAGAGCATTTGCCGCGTAGCGTAAAGAATTATGCCACCGAAGTAATAGGGTATTAGCGCGCCAGTTTATGTGCTACTTTAAGGAATATCAACAGTTTGAGTGCCTCAGCATTTCCGAACTTTTCTACCTTCTTTTACACGCAACTCCCAAAAGTATACTGCAAAATTTCCATTGTATCATATATTATTTTTCCCAGCATAATGACTATAACAAAACTGGATTTCCAAAACAACGCGGGGCACAACAAACGGAAAAAGTTCGACTGGTATTGGGCGCCCATCTACTGCGCCATCTGGTACACACTTTTCTATGCCGCCGCAGTCCCCAGTTTCTACAATTATCCAAAAACTCTACTCATCGAAGATGAGCTACATCATCCGGATGAATTCATTGGCGAACGTGCCGAGTTCCAATTAATAACATTGGCTAGTCTTGGCGTAAAACTATCTGGTACTTTTGAAAACGAAGTATTGGGGGTAAACTTTTTACTCCGCGAGATAGAAAAAATCAAGGCGCAAGCACGACTTGATCTCTACGATATTGATGCAGAGGTACAATATGCATCGGGAAAGTTTGAAATCTGGGGTATGGCCTCGAGTTATCGCAATGTCTCGAATGTGGTGGTGAAACTGGCGCCGAAAAATGCTAAATCCGCCTCATACTTACTTGTGAATGCGCATTACGACTCGGAAGTGCACTCGCCGGCAGCGGGAGATGATGGCGTAATGGTTGTTATTATGTTGGAGACTCTTCGGGTAATGGCCAAATCGGAGAAACCGCTCGTGCATCCTGTAGTCTTCCTCTTCAATGGTGCCGAGGAGAGTAATCTCTTGGCATCTCATGGCTTCATTACGCGCCACAGATGGGCGCAGTATTGCAAGTGAGTAGTGAGCAAAAGGAAGCGAGCGTAACGTTAGTAAACGGATTCAGTTCTGTTTAAATATATATATAAATAAATCATTATCAATCATTATCATTATCAATATTTACTTACAGAGCTGTCATAAACCTCGATTCAGCTGGCTCAGGTGGTCGAGAGATACTCTTTCAATCAGGGCCCAACCATCCATGGCTCATGAAGTATTACAAGCAAAGCGTTCCTCGGCCATTTGCCACTACAATCGCTGAGGAGTTATTCCAAAATAATTTTGTACCTTCCGACACGGATTTTCGTATCTTTCGTAGTTATGGCATGGTGCCAGGACTCGATATGGCACACTCGCTGAACGGCTATGTCTATCACACCAAATACGATACTTACACTAATCTCGAACGGCGCACATGTCAAACTACTGGTGAAAATATTCTTGCATTGACGTGGGCACTAGCCAATGCACCGGAGCTGAAAAGCCCTGAAGTATGTCAATGACAATAGATTAGATTTACACACTTCAGTTTCCCGTTCTCCTTTAGGACTATGCCAAAGGCCACACTGTATTCTATGACTACCTCGGCTGGTTTATGATTTTCTACACTGAAGACACTGGCATCATACTTAACATTACCATCTCTGTTTGTGCTATCGTGGTGATCTTATCTTCCGTTTTTCTTATGACACGCGCTACTGATGCCGATTCAATTAAGCGTGTCGTCATTCGCTTCATTACCATCTTCGGTGTACAGATCGCAACAATCGCCGTAGCTGTGGGCTTAACGTTTCTGATTGCAGTCGCTATAGACGGTATTGGCGCTTCAGAATGTTGGTATTCGGAGACCTGGCTAATATTTGGCCTCTACTTTTGCCCCATGTTCTTTGTAATGACTTTTATACCGGCGATCTATATACGTTGGACCAAGGAGGGTGTAAGCCAAACTATATAGATATCTTTATTTGTATATTTCTAAATCCAATTTTCAATCTCTTCCTCAGACCAACATGCGACTTGATGATACTTTGGCCTGTTTCATGCATTCACATTGCCTCATTCTGGCATGCATTTGCCTAACTATGACCGGTCTGAGCATACGTTCGGCTTTCTTCCCCATGATCGCAATTTTTTTCTACACAATATCTGTTGTATTGAATATTATAAATGGTCTTTGGGGCAAGAGTAAGTTTACAGCATTTGGAAAGCTTACAAATTCATCATCATCTCTCACATTAATTTTTCAGAATACTTATACTTGCCAATTCACCTTGCTTGTCAGCTGCTGCCTTTCTGGTTTTACACCTACCTCACACTTGCTTTCCTCAAGATTTTCATACCCATGCAAGGTCGTGATGGTCCGACAAGTAAGCCCGAGTTTTTGATTGCTGGTCTTTGTGCTATAATGAGCATACATTTTGGTGGATTTATCGTGAGTAAAATAATACTATAACTCGAAGTCTCTTAGATACAGTCCTTCTTCTTGCGAAAAAATCGTAAATGAGAATGCACATAGGATTGTTTGAGCATTGACATCTACGATGGCATTCACGATTGTGGGGAACCTTAAGTATTACGCCAACCATCCAGAGATGAATCATGGCTTCAAAATAGAGATTTAAATCGCCTTGGCAGCCACAGCGTTGAAAAAATTGGTCAGCAGTGGCAGCCATAAAACGCACCATCATTAACAGAAATATTCACTTTTATTGTACCATGCAGACCATATACATTGAATCCATACTGTTTCATCACAATTGAAAGGGGTTCCGAACGCGATAAGTGTACTACCCAACGAGCTTGGGGCATACTACCATCCATTATCTTTTTTTATCTCGATTCTGCACTCAACTGTTCTAGATTTAACCTAAATCTCCTGATACAGCCCACTTTTTTCAGCTACCTATTTTAAATCGATTCCGCAAATCAAAAACGTTTTTAAGTTTATTTGGAGTAATCTGCTTGATCTTCATTATGATTGCATGCCTGCCTACTGGCTTTCCATTTGAAAAGGATGTAGCGGTCCAGAGAGTTTACGTTTTGGTGAGTTCTACTGCCATCAGTGCGCCAAATCAGTACTCTTTTATCAACTCCATACCTTCCACAGCACACTACCCGCACCTTTTACGACGAGCGTGGTTTCGTTTACAGAAACGAATCTGGGTTCTATGTACAACCAGTTGATAGACGCAGTGACACACTGAAGAAAAGTGTCTTTCAAAATGCCGAGCCAAAATCGGTGCTTGAGGAGGATTGTAACACGGAATTGCTTTGTGGTCTACCACTGTATAACTCCCGTTGGCGAGATTGGAAGTAAGTTTGATACCTTCTGCCCTTGCTCATGCTTTGGGTCTATAAACACAATTTCTTCGTAAAAATACTTTTCAGAAACTACTCGCGTTGGATAGCTGCACCAATTCCGCACTTACCCATACCAACTGAAATCGAACTAACCTTCAAAACTCATATAACAGATACCAGAGTACGCTATGGCTTTAGCCTTAAGTCAGCAGATCGCGTTGTTCTCTACGTTGATCCATACCCTAATACGACGGTAGCAGATTGGAGCTTTGATCTGACGCCGTTGAAAAGTAAATTCCCGACACCTTATTTTGTGTACCACTTTTATTCGATGGATGACAGACCACTGCAATTCTGGATTGAAATGGATGTGAGTAGTATATCGTAGTTGTGGAAGAATTTCACAGTGGAAGTTTTATTTTATTAAAAGAAGCAAAACATGCGAAAAACCTTTAGATTCTAATATACGAGTATTTTCTTTTCTCCGCTCACAGCGTGGTTCAACTGACTATGAGGGTGGCACTCTACGTCTCGGCATCGGCGCCCACTTTTTATATCATGAAGATCAGTATACCGAAGAATTTAAAGGATTCTTGGACGAATTCCCAGAGTGGTCTTATCCAATAGACTGGGTGGCTTCATTTGAAAGTCGCATATTTTAGAAAGGAACTATGAAATTCGTTAATTAATTATAAATATATTTCTCACCTCATTTCAGACAAACATTTTTTTTGTCGTTTTTAAATATATATAATTTGAATATCTGTACATTACATCATATTAAAAAAAAAAAAAAAAAAAATATAGCGAACATACAAAGGTATGTCCAAATATAAATAACTTTTTCAAGTTTAACAATAATAATCATAGAATACAACAAAAAGTCTTTGAAAATCAGTGTGCTTGGTTTCATAAATATTTTGGTGTGTGACCTCTCTTCACCTAGCATAAGGGAGAGTTGCTCACGCACGTTGTTCGTTGGATTACATTTCCTTGATAATTATCGAAAATTTCGAAAGTCATTATATAATATCAATTAGTTAAAGCTACGACATCCGTAAAGTGGTGTAGAATTCAGTCATCTTCTTGAAATGTTCTTTATATTCGCCAACTTTCGTAGGAGCTCGTCCAAGCGCTCACTGTCGACCAAGCTGGGAATTCGGCGACGAACTCACGGAATTCATTTGTGTTTGAAATATCATCATGGACTTTGTGACCTATTACGGCAATGTCAAGCGTTGCTCCGGACCAATCGACACTTTGGTGCTGTAATGAACAAAATAACAAAGCCTAAAAATACCTTTTTTATTTAAGTTAAGCTTCCAGGGAAACATTCTCATGCATCGCTTCCTTAAAGTAATGAAGAGAGTTTGTAAATATTAACACAGTCATGATTTAAGGACTGGATACTGAAAGTATAGATCTTTCCCAAACTACTTTATAAAATATGTCTAGCTAAATGTGATCGATCCTTATTTTCTCGAACAGAAACTTGAGTTTAGTAACAGTGGAGGCATAGCATGCCAATCTTGTTGGAGCTAGTGCGTGGAGGAGCATAAGCCGTGTGGCTAAAAATTTGGGCTTATTCTTGAAAGAAGCTTTGAAGCAGATGTTTAAAAGTAAAGGGGGTTTTTTTTTTGTTTTTTTTTTTTTGGTACTTGTACTTTCGTAGAGACCAGCGAGAGCTGCCTACAAGCTGTTTCTCTTGAGCAGAGCTGAAGTGGTAACTTACTTGAAGCTGTTTCTCTTGAGCAAATCTGAAGTGGTAACTTACTTGAAATTCCATATGGAAACGGAAAGGCGCAGGATCCAAGGCGTAGGATAGATAAATAAAGTATGGCGCAGTAAAATTATTCCTTAGCGGCGTGCGATCCAAAGACCAATCGATTAGTTTCGTGTCGTTTATCGGCTGTATGAAAATACTCATATGATCCGGACCCGAGACCTCGAGGCTTATTATCAGATTTGTGTTGGAGATACGCTGTTTACTCAAAATTCTCAGGCTCGGCCAACCACCTGCTAGTGGTGCCGGGCCGTCAATCCAAAAGCTCTGGTCACTGCAAGGAAATCAAAACATCAAAATTAAAAGAGGAGAACACCTAAGGTAGAGTGGAACCAAATAAAGCATGCTCGACTGTTTTGGCTGACTGTTTTGGCTGCATTATAAAAAATATTGTGAGCCTATATCAATTCACCCATATATATTGACTCAAATTTTCATGTCCGGTACGGTACCTCACTTAAAATTGCTAAACAAATTGTAGTCCATTCGAGCATAGATTAAATTCAATCCAACTTTAAGAACTCACCGCCAGCCCAACCAACGCGAACTGTAAATTGGATAGCCGCACATTAACTCAGTATCGCAGTTTATTTCCATCTCAATGGATTTAGATACATTCATATTCTCAAATATGTAATCGATCGAGTGCGGACGACGATCGACAGGCACCACGTAGTAACCGGAATCTCTATAGCGTACAGACATCGCAGGATCCGAATTGTGGAAAGTGCGTGTGGTGTGCTGAAAGAGAAAAGGAATTGAGTTTAATCTTATATAGAAATCTATTGGAAGTACGTACAGCCACATAAAAACGTTGCGGGGCTTCACGTTCCTCATAGGGAAATCCAAAGGGAGTGGCAGCCAATATGATGAAGACCAAACAAAGGCCACCAAAAATTGAAATTATCGTTTTGGCTTTACGGAAGAGGCATAGAAGGGGCACCTGCAGAAGGAATTGAAATTAGTAGTATTTAGTGCGAATAAGCTGTGCAGCTTCAACTAAGGATTCTACCAGGAAGGGCACCATAAGCAAGCAAATCAAGACCGTAAAACCTCCGATCATTATTTCCGGATTACTATTGGCGCCATCACGACCCTGCATCGGTATAAAGATGACATAAAAAGCGTAGCAACAGTAAGAGTAGAAGAGAAAGGGCAATAGCTGGCAGATGGTATGTGGTATGAGCCAGAGGAAAGCTGTAAGACAAGAAAAATTAGCGAATAGTTATTAGATACCACAACGCTTTCTACTCACTTGTCTTGTGGAAACAAGTGACCATATTCAAGATCACCGATAACACATAGAAACCAATGCAAAGCATCAATGAAAAAGCCGACCGCACGCCGAACGAAATCAAAAATATGCAAGCCACAGTTAAGATCAGGCAATGAGCATGCATGATCAGCTGAATGGCATAACCCAATGGAAGACCGTGCTATAAGAGAATATACAAATCTGTTTTTTTTTTCTTTTTTTTTTTTGGTAATTGTTCTGGTAAAGCACTTACCTCCTTTGTCCGGCTCAAATAGATTGCAGGTATCAAGCCCATCATGAAGAACATCGGACAAAAGTACAAACCGAATATCATCCACGGCTGTGAGAACCATGACATTGACAAACCCACCGCATCCATGAATATTGCGATGGTGATCGAGAGCAGAATCGCCAACAGCACAGCAGCGAATTGTACTCCTAATAAAATACCAAATTTTAAAAAGACGCGACGGCGAAACATACCGGTTTGGTGTGCCATATTCCAAATATAGGCCAACATGGTGATAATGGCGACGACACAAACAATTATATTTATTATAGTGCCTGTGGTTTCCGAATAGTAGACAATGAACCAGCCGAGCACATCGAAGAATATTGTGTGGCCCTCAGCGTATTTCTGCAAAGTTGTAAATGTGTGTGTTTATTAGTTATGGATATGTAAAGATGAAGGGAGAAGCTTCATGTAAGTACTCACTGAAGGATCTTCCATTTCAGGTGCATTACATAAGGCTTTGGTTAGCGCCAGCACATTATCACCAGTGAGCTGATAGGTCGCCCGTGGAATCAAACTAAAGCGATCATACTTTGTATGATAGACGAAACCGTTGAGGGTGTGAGCCATATCCAAACCTGGGTAGTTTGAAAGATATTAGTATTATCTTTAGAAGGATCATCACTCGAAGAGAGATATATTAAGTTTTTTCTCGAGACACTTGTCTACGATCTCCACCTAAACTACACTTCCACGACACGAACGACTTGTTCGTCAACCCCAACTTCAGTATTCTTTTTAATGTTTTGATTTTGTACTCACCTGGTATATTTCCAAAGTCTCTAAATATTCTAAAATCAGTCTCCGAAGGCACAAATCCATTTTGGAACAATTCTTCGCCGATGGTCGAAGCATATGGATGTACAATTCGGCTACCGTAGTACTTCATTAACCAGGGATGATCGGGTCCGGACTGGAATAAAATTTCACGGCCACCCGAGCCCGCCGAATCCAAATTTATGACAGCCCTATAAAAATCCATATCGATGATTTATTATGTATAACATTTTACTGTTACCGCTCGCGGCTACTCACTTGACATTTCCCGCCCATTTGTGTTGTGTGATGAAAGCATGTGAGCCCTGCAAAGGGTTTTCCTCAGCGCCATTGAATAAGAAAACGATCGAGTGCTGCAAAGGTGTTTCATACTTCGAAATTACTCGCAAAGTCTCCAACATAATGACAATCATAGCGCCCGAATCACCTGCACCCGAACTGCCCGGCACCGAGTCATAATGGCTGTTGATCAATAGACTTGAGGTGCTATTGGTGCCACGCGGTGTCAACTTTACCACCACATTCTGTATACTCTGATAGACATTCACCATCTTCCAAATGACATAATTACCCGAAGCCACTTGTACGTCCTGTTCAATATTATAGAGATCACTGCGCGCATCTCGCACTATTTTATTAATCTCTGTGAGTAGGAATTGTACAGCCGTTTGTTCGTTCGCAGCGCTACCTACCACTTTCGGACCGATCTTTGTCAACCGCAACAGCATACTCTCGGCACTCTCACCAATAAAGCGACCCGGATGCGAGGCTTCATCCGCAGTTGTCAGCAGATCGGGATAGCTGTTGTAGCTGGGTAATACGGTGAGGTAGAAGAGTAGAAACCAAAAAGCAACAAAAAGCGGCGCCCAATACCAACCGAACTTGCTGCGATTGTATATAATCTTCATATTCTCATATTTCGACTTCATATTTAACTCATGCATGGTGGACGACCGATCGTGATTGGGTTGTATTTTATCTGCCAAGTTGCGTGAGGGGAATTAAACTGGCAAACTATAAGAAAATAAATAATGGGTTGGTGCACATTTTCACTTATTTATAAACATATACGATACATATATGAAATACGTTAACATATTACAACGAACAAATTCAATTTAAATTGTTCCACAATCGTTGCGAACGAACTCAAAAAGAAGTATTGGTCGAACCACTCTGTATCGATTAGCTAGCTAATCCCAGACTGGTCAAAAACTAGTTCCAACTTGAATTTTTTTATCAATAGTCTTCTCAAATGCCAAGTGGAGTTTGAACTAGTTCTAAGGGAAAGTATTGAACTTCTTCCGAAAAGTGATAAATCTTCAATTTTTTGCGCGCCAATATATATATTTGGTCATTCATTTATACAGAAATGAAGGCCACTTGCTCTGGAATGCCCCTTTTTAAAGTGTAAATTAATTAAGACCGAATCAAACAGTTATTTATTGCAATAACTTTTTGTTTTTTGAACTTGCCCTTCTTGTCGGCCTTAACATGCGAACACTTACACATATGTACGTACATACATACGTACATCGAATGTGTCAGCCATAACAAGTGCTTATCAACATATTAATAAAGCGGCTTCATTTATATTTATAATTGTTTTCGTTTTTTTTTTTTTCAGTTTCATTTAGCAATAATTCACTGAACCGTTGCACTTTTCCCTTTCTCTTTCTCCTTTTCCTGCAGCACATATAAATCTCTCTGAATTTGAGTAAAAAATGCGCCAATTATATTTTTATTGTTGTTGCTGTGGTCTTTTGCTTCATTGACAACAACAAATTTATGCTGCAACAAAGCATATTGAAAAGTGAAGAAGTGGCATTCACCACACACACGCAGCCATACATACATATAGTTGCAGCTTAATTATATAACATGACCGCCAAACTCGTTAAAATTATCCATAACAGCCGTTTCTGCATATGTGTGTGCGTATGCTGCAGCAGTGGCAGCGGTGGCGACGGTGGCGGCGGTGGCGGCAGTGGCGGCAGTGGTTGTGAAAAAATGCATTCCAATCGGAGAACAAAGAAGGAACAGATGGGTTGAGCATTAATTGAATTGTCTGCAATCGGATGGCATATTTGTGGCGTGAAAAATTACACAAACACAAGGCACACATACAAATGCATATATACAGTTATTATTTTGCTTTAAGCATTAAGCGTTTGCGGCGATTCCGTGGCGGTATGCACATACATTTATACATATGTATGTATGTACGTCTGTCGGCCGCTTGGTGTTTGCCGCAATTGATGAAATAATTTCCATAAAAAACAATAACGTAAATTTATTTCATCATTTGGAAATCAGTTGTGAAGTGTGTAATTTTAACAAAAACAAATAAAAGTACACACAGTCGCACATATTCATGTTTATATTATGGTGAGTAAATAAAATTATAATTAAATGAAATACAACTGATTAAAGATTTAGTTTGATTGCAATTTTGATTGATTTGTGGCCATGGCGCAGTGCTTGTTATCTTCAAGGTTGAAAGGCGGGCGTATTATTGATTTTTTTTACGCGAAGTCCTTGCCCTGGGAGGTGGATATTTCCCTACTGATTGCTAAATGGGGCAAGGTAGAGTTGAATGATGTAGTCAATATTTTTTATTGCGAACTTTATTTTAAACATTTCATATCAGATTTATGGTTATTGGAATAATACATATTTACTTATGAAAACAAAATTTCAAGCATTAAAATTAAGGCAATTAAAATTATTAAATGCATTACAATTTGTATAGTATTTTCTTCTTCTTCTTCTTTACTGACGGAGACATGGTTATAGCCGAGCAAGCAATAACTGGTCATTAGTTCTTTCTCTTTGCTGCTTGACTCACTCTCGTTCAGTATCAGGCCTTTCGCTTCCTTATCCTGTCTATGAAATATGTGCTCCATCGCCATCGATTGTGGAATCGGATTCATATGGTGGTATTCCATAACTTCAGTGCGCTCCAGGCATCAGTTAAAACGTCACCTATTTGGACTCTTAGAGAGCAGGAGTTCAAGTCGAGTGAAAATCCATTCGCCTATCTGGTGTGATTGCTAAAGATTTTTGCTGCTATAAGAAAGTGGTCCGAGTTGATGTCAGGTCCTCGTAGCGTAACTGCGTCAAGAACACTGGAGTCATGTCATCCGTGTATAATAATATCTTCGATCTGGTTATGAATTTTTCGAACTGGAAGCATCCAAGTAGCTTGGAGAATTTGCTTGTGCTGAAATACAATACTGTATATGTATATACAACCATATTTCGGGCCGGATAAGCCGATCAGCCTCAAACATTTGGGGATGTTCCGTCGTGGAGGTTGAATTTGCCTCCATCCTCATCCACCTGGATAACTCCCAGCACTCGGCGACGGAATCGCTTCCCAATCATGAATCCGACACCAAATTCCCGCTCCACAGCAGTAAATGACACAAGGACTTAAGGACCTTGTTCCTTAAATATTAGTATAGTATGGTGTGAATATCTGATAGAAGATGTTTGCGAAATCGTTTCAACCGGAGTCACGAGCTGTCAGTCCCTTCAGCATGATGCCTCCGGGAGCCACATTGGAAATCAATATTGATAAGGCTTTGAAAGTTCCATAAAATATCTAGGTCTTGTAGTACGAGACACGGGCTGAAACCGCCCGAGATCTTGGTAGAAAGACCGAACGCAACTTGACAACGAGGAGTTACCATCCAGTTATTGAAGTCCAAGTTAGTGGGGTCGTGTGTTGTGTGAGATTCCTCACCAACGAAGCTCCCAACCTTCGTGGACTTGGTGCGGTAATCATATATTTTTGCAAAAAAAAGACCTGCAAGAAAAAACCCACAATCAAAGAATCAGGAAATGCCTTGAGCGTATCTGTCGGCCCCACAACCTGCACTAAGGCAGCTCCCACCCATAATACCGTCTCTTCGAGCAATGGAAATGTAACACCTTAGAAGTGAAGGTAGCGACGTGTATCTATAGCGATTGACCCATCGAAAGAGCCTAGCAACAGGCCTGACTCCGAGAGCAATGTAGACCTCAACCACTTGCCAAATGCAATGGAGGACCAGTTCCTGCGCTCTGTTGCCGAAGAATACTGACGCTGCGTAATCTTCACTTCAGGAATACTTGCATGAGTGAGTGGACCTGTTGTCACCGTTAGGTGGTGCAGGACTGTAAATTAACTTGCATCATTGGAAAGAAGCTTCAGCTGCACTTACTCTACGACTCAGCGAAACAGCGAAGGACATACTAACCTTAGATCTTCTGTGGACTGAACTCGAATGCTTACCAATCGGTATCTCCACCGACAACAAGTAAGATCAGTTAACATTACTTATTTTATTCTTCCTAAGTACAGCGATACCGACCGCATCGCCATAAGACTGGGGTCGTATCTGGGTAGCCTTCTCATACATTTTTGCACACAGTAGTCTCAGCCTGCTACGAGTACACAAGTACACCAGCAGTGAGAGAGGCTAATATCAGGAGGCTAGTCCTAATCATCGACGCCGGCGCAAATGCGCACCACTTCCTCTGGAACTCTAGTTACTCTATTACACGATGCGAGCCCATACTGGATTTTATTTTATGAAAGAAAAACAGGTGGGAATAATCTCACCTTTGTAATGTCGTCTTGAAAGGAAGATTCTGACATAACACTAACTGCGGATGAAGAGAATTCCAGATCAGAGACCGACATGTGTCGGGTGAACACATCTTCACTACTTCTGCGGAGTAGAGCAGTCGTATATATAACGATGCTTCTTAACTGGTTTAAAGATTTTAAAGTTATATTATGTCGTTCATAGCATCACCGGAAAACAAAGTCTCACTACAAAGAATACATTTTTTTCATTCCAAATAGAGTGGATGCCTATGTTTGCAGAAACCGTTTCACTAAAGGTTTTTTGAGATACACTAACTGTTAACGGTTCAAATCAAATTTCAAATTTTTTCTTTCAAAAACAATTATAACATAATTTTCATGGCTCAGCATTCCCAAGCGCTTAACGTATTTATTCACTTCAAATATCTTAGGCAAAGTAAATACATAAAAGTAAAACAGTAATCGTATCCCAAGTAAATACTTATTTATATTGTTTAATATAATTTAATATTTCCATATGTACAAACAAACACAGTTAACTACATAAAATTTTCATTGCTTCATGGCTAATTTTCCACACAGTGACAACAAACTTATAAACAATGAAAGTCTTGTCCTCCTTTAAAAATCAATTTTTTAATCTAAAGTTAATTTCATTTTATCATTTAACTGCTTTCGATTTAATTGCTTCACCGCTATCAATAGAATTATTCGAATTTACCACGGGGCTAATTATTGTGAGCAAAAACATAGGGGAATTACTGGTTGTTGATAGAAATCGATGGGGTGTGATACCTATGGGCGAATAAAAAAATTATTTATGTACAGTATAGAGTTATTCTTTTCTTGGGTTCGAAAGTGTAGAGCTTTTTTTTGACATCTGCCAAACTTAACTGTACATTTTTTAACTGCATTTTATTACCTCAATTTTTGAAACCGCAAAATGAATAGCCTTTTAATGAGATAAAACTCTTAGTAATCAAACAAAGTGCGTTCTTTTAGCAACAATATTTCTCGAAGCGAAAAAAGTTTCATCAAAGGCATAGCAATTGCTGAAGAAAGTCTTATTTATTGCCTTATCTATGAGCAGTTGCCAGCGCATTTCTTCGTAATGAAATTTTCTACAGCAACTGATTCGCGCCTCTCATATGAAGGCATGGATATATGTTTCTATCTTTCCCAATGTTCGCCTACAAGTGCATTCAAGTTCATTGTTGTTGATAAAAATATTGAATAAGAAGAAAGCAATTGCAAATGAAGTTGATAGAAATGCGGGGCAATAATTATTTGCACTTGCAAATCAAGCTAAAGTAATACACACTTATCTATATATATATGTATATATATATATATATATGTATATTTATGAATCAATATGTACGAGTACGCTTATTGTTCATATGTAGAGCACTTTGCA